TGGAGGCAGGAGAAGAAGATACGGGAGCAGGAGGAGAAGATGCACAATCAGGAGGAGAAGATAAGGGAGCAGGAGAAGAAGATGCACAAGCAGGAGGAGAAGATACCAGAGCAGAAGAAGAAGAGGCAAGAGCAGGAGGACAAGATATGGAGGCAGGAGAAGAAGATACGGGAGCAGGAGGAGAAGATGCACAATCAGGAGGAGAAGATACGGGAGCAGGAGGAGAAGATGCACAAGCAGGAGGAGAAGATACGGGAGCAGGAGGAGAAGATGCACAAGCAGGAGGAGAAGATACGGGAGCAGGAGGAGAAGATGCACAATCAGGAGGAGAAGATACGGGAGCAGGCGGAGAAGATGCACAATCAGGAGGAGAAGATAAGGGAGCAGGAGAAGAAGATGCACAAGCAGGAGGAGAAGATACCAGAGCAGAAGAAGAAGAGGCAAGAGCAGGAGGACAAGATATGGAGGCAGGAGAAGAAGATACGGGAGCAGGAGGAGAAGATGCACAATCAGGAGGAGAAGATACGGGAGCAGGAGGAGAAGATGCACAAGCAGGAGGAGAAGATACGGGAGCAGGCGGAGAAGATGCACAATCAGGAGGAGAAGATACGGGAGCAGGTGGAGAATATGCATGAGCAGAAGGAGAAGATACGGGAGCAGGAGGAGAAGATGCACAAGCAGGAGGAAAAGATACGGGAGCAGGAGAAGAAGAGGCAGGAGCAAGAAGAGAAGATGTGGAGGCAGGAGGAGAAGATACGGGAGCAGAAGGAGATAATACGGGAGCAGGATGAGATAATGCGGAAGCAGGAGGAGAAGATGTGTGAGCAGGAGGAGAAGCTGGGGGAGAAGGAGGATATGCTGTGGGAGCAGGAGGAGAAGATGTGTGAGCAGGAGGAGAAGTTGGGGGAGAAGGAGGATATGCTGTGGGAGCAGGAGAAGAAGATGTGTGAGCAGGAGGAGAAGCTGTGGGAGAAGGAGAAGATGGTGCGGGAGCAGGAAGAAAAGCTGTGGGAGCAGGAGAAGAAGATGGGGGAGCAGGAGGAAAAGATGTGGAGGCAAGAGAAGCAGCTAGGGGAGCAGGAGGAGAAGATGTGCAGGCAGGAGGCGATGATGCGGGAGCAGGAGAAGAAGATGTGGGAGCAGGAGGAGAAGATGTGGAAGCAGGAGGAGATGATATAGGAGAAGGAGCAAAAGATACGTGAGCAGGAGGAGAAGATGTGGAGGCAGGAGGAGAAGATGCGGGAGAAGGAGGAGAAGATGCAGAGGCAGGAGGAGAAGATGCGGGAGCAGGAAATGAGGCTGTGGCAGCAGGAGGAGAAGATGCAGAAGCAGGAGGTGAGGCTGCAGGAGCTGGAGGAGAGGCTGGGGGAGCTGGGGCGGAAGGCCGAGCTTTGGGGGAGCAGGCGGAGGTGGGTGCAAACCCTGGAGATCATACAGAACGACCTCACCACAACTTAGCAGATGGTGGTTGGCTCCCTCTGCTTTTCCACCAGTCTGTGGCCTACAGCTTCAATGGTGGGAAGAAGGGTGTGAGATTTGAGGCTGGGGAGGGAGGCATGGGCCTCTAGGCAAGGGAGGCAGTCACTTAGGCCTGGAGGAAGGGGCCAGGGGCCAGGTGCCTTGGCAGATAACACAGCTCCACTGTGCCCTCGCCACCCTGTTTATGGGCCCAGAATCTGGAAGCCAGCCACTGCCTACCCTGACGCCTATCCTGCAGGTGGAGCTGAAGAGCCAATAGCCTCAGAGTCTGCAGCAGCAGCCAGACCATTCCCTGGGTCCCCTGCAGCAGTACGTGGCCGCCTATCAGCAACTGGCCTCTGAGAAGGAGGCTCTGCCCAGCTGCAGCAGCAGGAAGCTCAGGGCAAAGCAGTGGCCGAGGTGGCCCCCAAATAGTTGCAGGAGACCCAGTTGAGGGACTTGATGAGGGTGGGGCCCCAAGGGGGACGACCTGGCAGCCTCCGTGCCTTCTCACTCTCTTTTCTGGCGCCTTAGGAGCACCTGGAAGCTGCCATCTACCGAGCACGTGACAAGAAGGCAAAAACAAGAAACATGTAAAAGCCGGCAGCAAGGCCTGGAGAAGAGTCAGCCGCCGTGTGACTGTTTAGAATATAGTCTGAGCACAAACCTGAAAAAAAAAAAAAAAAAAGAAAATTAATTTATTTTAAATTGCGGCAAAATATTGGTCAGGCACAGTGGTTCATGCCTGTAATCCCACCAATTTGGGAGACTGAGGTGAATGGACCACCTGACGTCAGGCGTTCCAGACCAGCCTGGCCAATACAAAAATTAGCCAGGCATGGTGGTGCATGCCTGTAATCCCAGCTACTTGGGAGGCTGAGGCAGGAGAATCGCTCGAACCCGGGAGGCAGAGGTTGCAGTAGGCAGATGGTGCCACTGCACTCAAGCCTGGGTGACAGAGCGAGACTCCTTCTCCAAAAAATAAAATAAAATAAAATAAAAATAACAAAAAAAACCTTTCTTCCTTATCTTCCTTACATGAGCATGTTTCTATTGTTTTTCTTGTATGTTTCTATTGGTTTTTCTTGTATGTTTCTGTTGTTTTTTTTTTTTTCTTGTTCTTTCTCATTTAGTCTTGTCTTTTCTTATGGCGTTCCTAGTAAACTTTTATCTGCCTCCAGAGAGTATTGACTTTGACTTTATGGCACACAATTGGAGTAAGGGCAGATCACCTTCATCTAGTTTGGGATAAAGCTGTTTCAAAGCAGGTTTTAGTTTTTGTGACGGCTGGTCTGTTTTTTATTCATTTGGACTGCTAGGGGTGACCCTTCCAGGAGTTCACAAGGTCCATCTCATACTAGGTTAAGTCCTCATTAGAGTCATTTCAGCCCTGTGAGTGCCAAACATTCAGCTAGGCTCTCCAGCCTCTTAACCACCACTTCAGACTCAGTTTCTTAACCTCTTAGCCCTCTACTGTTAACCAATCACCAAATGTGGGAAAAGCACTACAGACTATCAGGGTCACCTCCCTGAGCCTGGTCACTCAAGTCGTGACTGAGGGTCTCCAATTACCTTCAAACAGTTGTTTTGGTGGTGGGGGCACATTTTTGTCAGTTCTCTAACTGTTTTGTGGAAGGCTAATCTATAACAAGCTACTCTGCCTTTAGTGAAAGTTGAAAACCTTCATCTGTCTTTTTTTTTTTTTTCTTTTGAGATGGAGTCTCGCTCATTTTCCAGGCTCCAGTACACTGGTGTGATCTCTGCTCACTGTAACCTCCGCCCTACTGGGTTGAACTTAATTCTCCACCTCCCAGTCTCCCGAGTAGCTGGGACTACAAGGCCTGTGTCCCCCATGCCTGGCTAATTTTTGTATTTTTAATAAAGACAGGATTGAACCATGTTTTCCAGGCTGGTCTCGAGCTCCTGACTCAGGTGATCTACCCGCCTTGGCCTCCCAAATTGCTACAGGATTACAGGCGTGGTCACTGCGTCTGGCCCATCTCTCTTTTAAAAAATGTTTTTAATTTGAAATTAATTTATCTTCAAGTGAAATGCACAGATCTGGTGTCTATTTTTGATGAATTCAACAAATGCATTACCCATGTATCCCACCTCCTTTGAAGATATAGAACATTCCTATCATCGAGATTCTGTGCTTTAACCCTGTCAGCACTCCCCAGCAGCTGATGAGCCTGCTGACGACATTGGTACAGGATTCTGGTCTCCCCAAAGAGCTGCTTTGAGCAAGCTGCTTGCCTTACCCAACACTAGAGTCTCTGTCTGCTCTCTCAAAATTTCCATCTTTAAACTGGTTGTACCTATAACCCTCCCTTGTCAAGTCAGTAGATAAACCCTGAAAATAAACACCCTTCCTGTACAGCCAGCTGTCTTTCCTTGTATCCCCAAACTATCAGACATGTCACTTGCCTGCTGGTTCACTCTCACTAGGGTGGCAGCTGCACAGGAGCAGTTGGGCTGACCCGTTAAGCAAGAAGCCAGTCACTGGTCAGTGACACTCAGACCAACCTGGGTAGGCCGGCTGAAAGCCCCCTTCTTTCTGGTCCGACTGTGGCGGGCGGAGCATACCTGGCTCTACTGCCCTCCTCATCCTTCAGCTGTGCTGCCTCCTGGGAGAGGGAGCTGTTCATTAATCTGGCCAAAGCCTTCTTGAGGGCTGTAGGTTTGACAGGCTGGGTGTGTGGGGGCCACCGTGCTAGAGAGAGAGGCTGCTGTGTCCAGAGGCAGCCACTGGCAGAGGAGGTCAACCCCCTTGGTGACCTCCTTCCTGGCTGAGACACAGCGCCCTCCCTCTCCACGTGTGACTGCTCCCCCTCAGAGCCGCTTCCAGGGGAGGTTCTAACCCTGTGGTGGGGACACTGTGTTGGTTTATAGTAGGCCATGGCTCCCTCTGACATCTCCAACTCAGAGGCAGTGGAAAGCTGAAATTCCCTGCCTCCTCCCTCAGCACCCCACCTCTGCACACATCCACATATGGAGACCCTGGCGACGGTGGTCCTGGAGTGCCGCCACCTGCGCCCACTCCCTTTCCATGCCTGCAGCAGCACCCACTCTCAGACCCTCACCCTCCTGGCTCAGTAGAGGCTGCACTGCCTGGGGTCCTGCCCCTACACCTGGGCCTCTGTACCCATCAGTTCCCCCAGTCTGGTTCTTATTTCCCCCAACAAGTAGGGAGCCTGTAAGGTCACCTGCTGAGCAAGCTGGGAGAGAGTAGGAGCAGGGCTGGGAGGATGAGGAGGAGAAGCATGGTCGTGCTGGAGACTCAGCGGAGCAGAGTCTGTGAGCCCATTGGCTGCCTGGCCAGTGGTGATCCTGCTCCCACCCTCGTTTCTTCTTTAACAAAACCATGACCGCATTAAATATTGGACACCTATAAACCTCATGGACCCTCCTCCAGCCTCCCGGCCATGCATTGGTGAGTCTAAGTCAACTCTAGTCATTTCATTCCTCTGGACACTGATTGCCTGAGGCGGGCATGAGCTGCCTCTTCACCTGAGCCTGAGCCACAGGTGTCACATCTGCACCTACCAACTGATGCACTGGGTAGGGGAGAGCTCCGTCTCGATGGAGATGAGCTGTGAGGAGCTGGTGGCTGGGCGGATCAGGTTGTTGTAACGGGTTTTGTTCAGAGGGTCGTCCATCAGCTTCTGCTCGGCATGGGCCATGTGGCAGTCCCCTGGCTAAACACACAGACACATCCTGGGTCAGCCAGGCAGCTGTCCCCCACTGCAGCTGACAGCTATGAAGCCGGGGAGCCGAGAGGGCCAGGGCACAGGCACCCCGGCCCAGCTGGTGGCGTAGTAGAGAGACTGGCAGACCCCTAGCTCCCTTGGGACTTCAAGCGTTATTCATGACAGAGCTCAGCTACCTCCTCCCATGCCACACCTCTTCCTCCTCCTCCTCCCTCGATCAATGAACAGCATCCCACGCTCCACACATCTGATACAAAATTGGGTGTCTCTTTCAGACTCCTGCCTTGGTTCATCCAAGTAATTACCAAGTCCTGTCTGTCCTCCCATTTCCACAGCTACAGCCACGTCCTGCCTCCCTGCCCTGTCCACCTTCTGGTCTCTCCACCCGCACTCTGTCCCCACCATCCATGTGTCATACAGTGGCAGACTGGTCTTTCTACAGCACACTGGACTAGGGCCCTTCCCTGCCCACAGCTCTCAGAGCTGGAGGTGGAGACCGAAACTCATGGTTTGACATTCCAGAGCTCTTTCCCCCTAAAGCACTGGCTTATCAGAGCGCTCACAGTGCGGGGCAGGAGCCCCTGAGCTCAGTGTGGGTTTGGTGCACAACTGGGTCCTGAGAGTGGTGCTGCTCCGTATGAAGAGACAGGACTGAGATGGGGGATGTTCTGGAGTTCAGAGTTAGACCCACAGAGTGCAAGGTTTCTCCCGGAGACACCAAATGGAGAGGTCAGCGGTGGCTCCTGGTCTGGAGCTTCAAGGAGAGGTCTCAGCTCAGAGCCACACTCAATAGCCAGCTGAAATGCAGCCTCCTGCAGGAACTCCTGGGCTTCACAGCCTCAGATCTGCCCCTCTGCATACCCCAGATCTCTTGCCAAGTGGCGTTTGGTTCTTCGTGTCATCTCCCTCCCATGTCTGGGAGTAAGGTGAGTGCAGGGACTGGGCTTGTATACTCTGGTGTCTTAAAGGAGAAAGTGTCAAGTGGAGTGGAAGCGGCTTGGAAAGACGGAGACTCAGAGAGAGTGAAGGACGTGGCCAGGCGAGCCTGGGAGCAGGAAAGAGATGAGCGTGAGCAGAGAAACTGCTGGGGCAGGGGCGGACACTTGGTATCAGGGGAATCAGGGGGCTGGAGAGGTGGGGTTAGGGGGATGTGTGGGGGCTGCCTGACTCCTCAGGCTCAGAGTCAGTTACATGTCCTTCCTGTGGAGGCTCGGCCTGAATTCTGAGTCCTGCCTCTCATACCTGGGGCCTACTACCCAGAGCTACAGCTGCTCGAGTACCCTGGAAGCCTGACTGTGGCCCCAGGCTACAGCTGGGTCCATCCCACAGCTCTTCATTAGTGCATCTACTTGCACTGACTGGTCATCATGAGAGGGGTGTGTCTTGCCCCAGCCCATCTGGCATGTCTAAGGCAGCTGTGGGGACAGAATCTGCAGCTCCCAGGCCCCAGCCCTGCAATAGTAGCAAAGGCTGGACCCACATCTCTGGAAGTCACAGTCCACAGGCGTGAGCAGGCTCCCGAGTCCAGGGCAGCTCTGCAGGCTGTGGGGCTCATGCACCAGCTCACAGAGCCCACCTGATGTGCTCAGGTTGCTCACCCTTGGGCCTGTCCTGCCTTTCAGGCATTCGGCTGACTCCCAAGGTCCTGTCAACATCTTGATCACCAGCTACAGGCTCTGACTTAGGGGTTCCTAGAACCTTAGACCATTTGGCTCAGCCCCCATTTCTCAGCTGAGGAAACTGAGACCAAGATGGGAAGCAACTTTCCTAAAGGACCCACAGCAAGTAGAGGGCAGAACCGGGTCTAGGAACCTCTTCTCGACAGAGAGGTTCTCCCTGTCCCCCTGAGCCTTTTTGGTGCCTCATTAACTTCCTGTAAGGAGACTGCCCTGCCGAGGCGGAAATGGTGCTGTCAGGGCGGTGTGTGTCATTGACTGTGCCTGTGTTTGTACTTGTGAGTGTGTATGGGGGTGGGGATGAGGGGTGGGGAATAAGCAG